ATGTATTTAGTAGTAGTAATAGTAGTAGTCGTAGTAGTATACCACGTCTCGTTTAGTTCTTGGAATGTCCGCTGGACGGTGGTACTTCTATATGATGAAAATATGCGAGATGGCGGTACTTAGAGTGTTCACTAGATGTGCGGACACACGGACGCATGAACGGATGAACGCACGGGCGGACGTATGGATGGACGGAAGCAAGAATGAACAAATTGACGGAATTTCGGACGGACTGACGAATGCTTCGCCCCACTTATCATCAGTTCAGCCATGGCACCGAGCCCTCGAGCCGCAGTTTCTTCCGAGATCTCGCAGCCGAGTTGGCTAATCATGTCGAACGCTTGAAACAAAGCAGCGTTGCGGCATCAATGTGATAATTGCGGGAGCATGCTCGCAGGGACAAAAGTTGCTTCCGGCGGGAGTTTATGATTGATATGTGGGGTTTGCGTCCCAAAACCACCATATGATTGTGTGAGACGCCGCAGTGGAGGGCTCCGGACGTTTCGACCACCTGGGGTTCTTTAACGTGCAACTAAATCTGAGTACACAAGCCTACAACATTTGCACCTCTTTCGGAAATGCAGCCGCCGCAGCCGGCATTCGAACCCGCGACCTGCAAGTCAACAGCCGTAGAGCAAAAGATGCCATCTCGCATCTTTTCGTTATATAGAAGTACCACCATCCAGCAGACATTCCGAGCACTAAACGAGAGGTGGCTACCTACTACTCCTATGACTACTACTACTGCTGAATACATCGCAGACGCATGACCCAAAACATAAGGAGCTTCGCACCTAAAAGAAAATCACCGACCAAGCACTCAGTACAAATGGTCAACTAGCGAAAGCTGAAACGTGTACATGTAGCTCTGGTGTTTAGAGTTAAATCCCGCGACTCCGTGGATCGAATATTCACGTGATTAATTTCATCCTAGATGGTTCACTAGATGGACGGACACACGGACGGACGCATGGATCGATGAACGCACGAACGGACGAATGGACGGACAGAAGCAAGAACGAACGGACGAGCAGAAACATTGACGGACTGATGGACGCTTTGCCTCACTCATCACTATTCAGTCCATGAATATGCTGTGATTTTTTAGATTTTTGTTTTGTCCAAAATAACTGTCGCCGACACGGTTAATCGTATTCTTTTGTTGATGTTTTTCTAGCTTACGCCGTAGCAATTAAGAGCCTGCACTTTGTTTTTTCTGGCTAATCAGGGCAGGCAGCGCTTCAGCACTACTTTTCTAAATGCTTATTTTCAACACTAATGTTACCTGCCGTGGGTGCTACGCACGTATAGGTTGTCGCACTGTCTAAGCTAGAGGGCAGAGGTTCAAACCCAGCTACGGCAGCCACATTTCGACGGGGTGAAATATTTGTGTGCCTGCAGATTTAGGTGCACGGTAATGAATCCCAGGTGGTCAGGATTAATGTGGCTTCCTCAACCACACTACGCGTCATAATCATATCGTGTGTTTGGCACGTAAAAAACAGCAGCAAATATTATTAACGCTGCTATACTATAAAACAATGTCTTCTGAAGAAGCGCATGCACTTCGTTAAAGAATTAGTAATACGTCCTAATCTTCATAATCTCTATAGTAAAGCATATACGCTAAGCTTTGCGTTAGTCACGGTCACCCGCAATTGCCGTTGCTATAATGGGAATCGGCAAAAGGATAGCGTACAAGGCATGTGCAGAGGTCATAAGTGTTTGTACAAAGTCTTGCATTCGCAATTCTAAATTATACTTCATAATTCACTAAGATAATTCCTAAGTTAAAGGTGCGGAGCCCCTTTTTGTATACGCTCAGTGGAACTTCCGATCGTCATCACATGCGGGAGATTCACATCTTGTCAGTATAACGTCACAAGTGTGACGCTACAGCTGACGTATAATGCCACACTCGTGCCCTTCTAATAACGTCACACTCCTGATGTTACTATAAGAATACGCCAATGTCGAACTCTGGTTTTGGCAGTAGTGAGAACCACGACAAAACGCTGGCAAAATAGTGAAAACCGCGGAGCAGAAATGCGTAGGTTATTGGCGCCACCAGGCCTGTAAATTGGTTCAACGTGGCGGACTGCCCAATGTTGCCACAAGCACACATGATGGCGATCTGACACAGTACCGTGACATAATCTTGCGCCCCGACCACGAGGGTATCTCGGGTTGTAAGCTGGCGCACAGTTTCGCCCGTCATTTCAGCAACAGAGAGAAGAACGACGGCGAAAACTAATACAAACCTCACACTCCACGCAATATCATCAACGTAAGGCAAGACAGCGTGTATGCCCACCGCACAAATTACTCGAAGTCGATGAATCTCACCGCCTCAGACAAATTCATGCGAACACCTGTCCAGACTTGGAAAGGTGGCATCACGTAAACGCCAATGCATATGTAAACCAAAGTCCGTGGTGCGAGTCGAGTCTGACGTGGCAGCATATCCCATGGGAACGTCTAAGCAAATGAATGGAGGCACAGTTGCCTATGATACTTACGGTGCGATAGAGGCCCTGGGAGGCAGTCCTTTTCAAAACTTAACCGGGTGAGCAGCGGTGACCTCTGAAGCCCTGAAATGGGGAAACCACCGTTGAAATCTGCCCCTCCTACTTTTTTAATTTCATTTTTGTAGATTTTTTCCATTAATAAACGTTTCTAATTATCATAATCAGTGGTACGGACACCACCGACGCTGTCATTACAACTATACTTGTGCAACGCCAATCAGAGTATCTTCCTTTCGTTCAAGTTTTGGCCGGAGTGTGACATCACACGTGATGTTTACATTCCGGTCACGTGACCCTTCGTGCATTTGACTGCAACCGGTCTTTGTTAATGCAATTTTTATGGTATGGAAAGACGCACCAGTGCAAATGGAACGCTGCCTTGTAGTTATCAGTCTAATGACAGAGTTGTCTACGAAATTACGCGAGTCATATTCACCCATGGGCGGATCGATGCGCATTAAAATGAATCAAGAGCCATCAAACGTACACTGAAGTAAGTGAAACATAACGCGCATCAATGTGAACTTGAATCAATTTGTATCAGCCCACTCTGTATCTTCATATGTATTGTGATTGTTATTCATCAGATTATTTGCTTTTGTTTGTTGCCTAATATGTCCCACTCACCCCAATAAAGCTTTTTTTATTGGGGGTAGAATAAATAAAATTAAACTAATTTCATTCCATCAAGTGTCATTCAAGCGAATTAATTAGTGCTACGCAGAGGAGAGTTTTTTTTTTTTTTTTTACTGTGATCTCTGCAGCGTTACCGAAAGATGCCCGACAGCTTTGCCTATTGTTAGAATAGCGCTGCTTTCTTTACCTCAACTCCGCTATGAGCGAATGAGCAGGATGTGATGCTCAGGTCCTTGACACCATATAAAACAATCGAATCGGGCCAATGTTAGACGCTGAAGGTAGCCAGACGTTAGATCGCGCGTAGTCTGTGTTTTGTTAGACAACTAGACGATCATGTCCATCTGCACGCGTCCGCAAGTTAGGACTCTATTTCTAATATGTGTCATGGCCTTCACCAATTTTTCTGGATGTCATAGTCACAGGTAACTCATACTTTTCTATCATATTAGACTAATCATATAGGGCGTTATATTCGCCAGTTTCTGGTCGTGTACTTAGTTATTATATCTCGTGAAAATATGCTACGCAGTGTATGTAGGAAACACTGCTGCTGTATTTTAACGTGCAAGCTTTGTGAGAAAGGTATTTGCCTCTTACATCGTTCTTCCATAAACTCATTGATAGGTTAGTTGTGAATTTTTTAAATCAAGTGTAAATGACACCTTCTCATAGACTGTCCACATCATGACACGCCGAGACGCCGTCTCAAATCGGAACTGTTGGCATTAAACCGCAGACCATTTAGCATGAAGAAACTTCTGGGCCCGTGGCCAACAAGAGTTTTACAGTCACACGTTTCAAAAGCATTAACATCTTTTTAACAAGACAGCGGAATTGCTGACAAGTACTAAGAAATAACGAGCTTTCGTTATAACGAACACATGAAATAACGAACACATGAACTTATTATGTGCACTGTTATGTGACACCCATCATGTGTGTGTAGTGAAGTGAATGACATGTCGACTATTATGTACACACGAGCGAATACATCTTCATAAGAACCAACGTGTGCTCTGCTGTTTTGTGCTGGTTGGACCGAGTATTAACGAGGCACATTATCAGAGACTTCATTCGTTGACTTTCGAACATTTCCTTATCATTATGTTGTGATATGTGCGTATAAGTGTGTCTTTGCATACCTGTGCCCGAGTGTTCTATTTTCCATGCACTGCTTTGTATGTTTTACTTCAAGATACGTGTTCAAGTTTCACTCAAGAGCTAAGAAGTAGACGGCGCCATAATTGTGCGCCAACATCTCCTTATATATCATATCAATAAAAAATCATAACTAGCTATACGTTCATAAGAACCACTGAAAGAAAAGTGTTTTTTTTTTTTTTGCGTGAATCAAATGCACTCCGAGTGTTCCTTGTAATAGGATATGTGCCAAAAAATATCTAGCGACTAATCAGTAGTGCTTTATAAAATATTTTCATTACTATAGTTGATGACTACTAAAGGAAGGTCATTCCGAAAAGATTTCGGAGGATTAAGATGAAAGTCTACACACCCGTATCTTTGAACAATTTCAGGGAAGCCGTTGGCCCAGTAGTGTACTTAAACGTAGGGACAGGTTACAATTATTAAATTAATTTAAAAGATCCTCGTCTTCTTTACAGTGACATGTTTGGGCTAGGCGTGCGTAACGCAAGCCTAGAATTATCTCGGAAGATTGACGTTCTCGACAATGTCTTGGAACGGTACGACAAAAGGGCGTGGCCAACGTACGGAACAGGTATACTTTTGCGGTACTGTGAGTGCGTGGCAATAAGTATACCTGTTTGATCATAGAAGAATACGACTTCATGATGCCTTCTAATTCACTCGCAGGGCAACCAACGAACGTGTCCGTCAACCTCGTCATTTACGAGTTGGGTCCCCTGAATGAGAAAGACATGGTTTGTCGTAGTCATAGTAGGGTGAAAATATGGCGTCTATGACGTATTTCCTGTTTAAAAAAGATTATTTACACTATTTACAGAAAACAAAAGTTTTATAACATTCCAGTAATAAGGGCAATACACTTCGGCACTGCTGCCTTATTTAACATGCGAGAATTTTGAGAAAGGGCTTTCTTACCTGTATCGTCCATCAATCAACTGATGGGTAGGTTAGTTTAGAGTAATTTATTCTCAGGAACAGTGAATATCAATTACAATCCAACAGAACATCGCGTCGGAACTCAAGATGCACAGAGACACCAACGATTACTACAAAAAATGAACCACTGCGCGTGCCTCCAGAACATGCAGGACCTTCGAGATTGGTTCTCGCTAGCTGGAAGCAAGCAGTGCTGTGGCACAGCTTTCTACACCGCCCATTTCTCCAGCAAGCTACTACCCAGATATTATGATTATTAATGCCGTAGTGGTTACCCAGCAAGTGTGGTTGCAGCACTTACCCAATGAATGCTTAGAGAAGACTCTGAAATGTCACTCCTTTTGCTTTTGCTGTGTCTGTGCTGCGCTTTAAGTGCAGACCTGGTGTCTTTTTATGCAAACTAATACCAATATACAGTATGGAATTTGTAAATGGTATAGAGAAATGAAAGAATACACCATGGCAAGACACGTAATGTTTTGATATGCCTAACATTGCAGACTTGTAATCAAGAAAAATTACACAACTATTTATCATTAAAGGTGCGCCGACTGAACGCAGACATTGCACAGTAAAAAAATAAAAATCGGGACACACAACGTTGGGCGCCAAATTCCCTAGTATTTTTTTCGTACTTTCCACTGTCTACGTTCATTTAGCGCACTGTTCGAAATGTATCAACACTAAATACCCACACTGTAGCCGTGCTCAACATTCATTTCATGACATTACCTTACTGTGCAGCGAAACTTAATTACCTCCCTGAGAGGAACTGGCTTCTTTACCAAGCGATAACAGAATTCTTTAAGGAGATGCTCGGGTGAAAATATTGCTAACTATTTAGGCCAAGCTAACCCCGCCTGCACAGAAGGTTAGACAGAAGTTTAGGTGGGCAGATGAGATTAAGAAGTTTGCGGGTATAAATTAACAGCAGCAAGCACAGGACCGGGTTAACTGGCGGAACATGGGAGAGGCCTTTGTCCCGCAGTGGACGTAGTCAGGCTGATGATGATGATGATGATGATGATGATGATGATGAACCCCGCCTGCAGCAAAATCATCACCACTCTTACTGACGCCATCGGTGAACGGCAGCCATATTTTCTTGAAAATGTCTTTGAAGTTGGATTGTAGGGACGCAAGAAGGAAAATATTCAGAAATATTCAGCTAGCGCGTCCTTCACAAATTTCCTTCTAGAATAGACGTCGGTTATGGTGAATATTTAAGTTTCGACATATCCTTCATGAAGTGAACACGTCCTTACTTGCACCCTCTTGACAATAGGACTTCCGCGTAGACTTGGATCTGCAAGAGTCTTGGACTGACGAGCGTATGTCACTCTATGAACATGGTGTCAATTATTCCTTCATCACGAACGAGGGCAGCCTCATCGGGAGCATATGGAAGCCGGACATATTTTTCGTGAACGCCAAAGACGCCACAACCCACGACATCACCGTTCCGAACCAGCTGCTGCAGATCTTACCAGATGGCGTCATCCTGTTCAGCATAAGGTATGCACTTGCTTTAATCAGTGTCACGTGCCAGGAAAACATAAAGTCATATTTTGTACCTGTCAGTAATCACACGCAAACGGCAACAAAAGAAAGGATTTTGTCTATTAAATTACCTTACAATAGGTAGTTAACTAATGAAGTTAGTAATAATTTCGGTGTTTCAACGTCCCATAACCACCATATTATTATGAAAGAGGTCGTAGTTGAGAGCTCCGGAAATTTCGACCCGTTGTAGTACCTTAATATGCACCTAAATCTAAGTACACGGCCCTCAAGCTTGTTTTGCTTTCATTGAAATAACTAATGAAGTTGTCTTGACTCTTGGCTTGACGTCAAACTGAGGCCGCACTCCCTCATGAATTCCAGGAACCACACCAAGTGATTGAACGTAGGAAGGAAGGGAGACTGACTGATGTGCCAGCAAGAACATCTAGCTTTTAGCCTAATTTAAATCTGTCAAGTGAACAATGAAACAAAAATTGTTTTGCACTAGGAGGCGGCAGCATAAAGCATATGAAAAAAAATTAAGCAGCTGCATCCAAATTATCCTGTCTTATGTTCGCTTCTAACCTCGAAAGGATATGAGTATTTGCTGTTTAATCTGACCTGAGTCCACCACGGAGGCTTTTGAGCTTAACTTACGCTAATGATGCCCTACTACTCGGCTACATTGGATAGGAAGTCCGTGATGCGAATTCTACATTGCACGGACACAGTCGTATTCGAAGCTTCCGGTGTTATGCTGGGACGGCTTTGAACTCTCCCATAGTAGAGTACCTGATACTCTAAATTGTTACCTACTCTTTCTAAACACAAAAGCTTTACTAAAAACTTCTTTGTGTTCTTATCCATGAGGCTGTTTTATGCTCTCACATAGTAGAGTGCCAAGCGCTCTAAATCGTTAACCACTTTTTCTACACACACTTGCACAGCGCCCTGCTCTTCTCAGCGTAGCTTTATCAATTGGGCCCACGGGACGGCTTATGCTCTCCCATAGTAGAGTAACTAGAACTCTAAATCGTTACCCACTTTTCCTACACCTACACACACTCACCGAATGCCAACAGCTCATGCCCTTAGTAAGATGGCTGCCACAGCCACCATCTTAGGTAGGCACGGCTTTACTCGGGGGCGAGAATTTCCACTTCAAGCTATTTCTTTTTTTAAAATCTCCTTGGCGGGGACAAACGGAACTATTGCGCCTACTGCAGCACTAATGCCCTCGTGCTTCACGGCAAATGTGGGAGCAGTTTGTCTCTTCGCAGAGAAACATTCATTCGCAGAAACAAGTTTTTTTTTTCGTTGCGACATGGCAGACTAAGTTGGCATGCTTTGCAACAATTTTGCACCTGAACGCACGACACGCTGCCCTCATGCAATCTAACCTCAGCTCAGCCATCCATTTTCTGAATAAGCCATCCCTAAACCTATGCCATCTGAACTTTTGAGTGGAGCTTTGTTTAATTCGTCCTGTTTTCCCCATGATTTTTGTCCCCGTCCCTCATTACCAATGGAATACAACAGCCACATGCAGCGATTTAGTGGGATGCTGAACTGTTTAGCCAAAAGAAAGTTTAAGAACATGCAACAGAAACTGCAAAAGCCGCCCAAACACAACCCGTATCCAATTTTCAAATAATCGAGCTAGAAATTTCCATTAGCAGGTAGGCCACAATTTTGCAGTTAAACTACATAATACAAAAAGCTAAATCTAACGAAGAAAAAGCTAAGTTGGCCACACTGATCCAAATAAAGACTATCGTATTTAAAGAGAAAACTTACGTAGGCCGTCTATTTGCTCTGCAGAATTACCCTTCGGCTGTCGTGCCTAATGGACTTCCAGCTATTCCCGCTGGACAGGCAAATCTGCGATATCGTCTTCCGCCCATGTAAGTTCCTTTATAATACTAAAATACCAACAGAAAATATTTTACATACATTTTGAAACTTTCTACTTGTAGAGAGCACATTCTGACAACACTGTTTATCATACTTACGAAGAATGCATTGCTCATGTCACTCTATCTTGAGACTCTTCTTGCAGATTCTTTTCACCTGGGAATTTTGCACTATTTGTTCCGATGGAATCAACTACGCAGCTATTTATAATTACTCCCAAGGCATTCAGTTATGTTTGACAATTTGAAGACAATGTCAATATCCTTGCCGCGTGAAGGTGACCTTTTAGTTAATCGGGCTGTCTTATCTTATTTTCATTCATGGCTAACTATATCAAATTGCATGCTAATACTCTCATGTGATGATCAGCTGTCATCTAACATTTATTTTTCCCGATCAATTGTTATTATCATTATTATTGTCTTCAAAGTAGCCATCTTGTGTTCCTTTTTCATTTGTATAACTATATAATTTCGTAATCACAGAAATGACGGTAAGAAATCAACTGAACAGGTCAATAGTGCCTCCGAACCGTTGATCTTAGCTTCATTGCTTTTAAAACTAGCAGCACCTTCTAATAATATAAGTAACAGTTGTTGGGGTTTGATGTCCCGAAACACCCATACGATTACGAGAGACGCCACTGTGAAGGGCTTCGGAAATTCCGACCACCTTGGGTTCTTTAACGTGCCCTCAATCTGAGCACACGCGGCCTCAAACTTCTATCAGCCACACTTTGAGCACTATGTGTGAATATAAACATCATGGCAATAAAATATCCAACACGAACCCTGCTTGCGAGAGCTCCACGGCAGGCATAGATTGGATTAGAGTAAAATATGCGGTACAGTAACATATAAGTACTGAGAGCTTGTGATGTAACAATTTCTGATAGTATATTCTGCTTCGCAACGCCTCACATGTCGCCAAATGACTAATGGCGAGAATATGGCCTTGCACAGTGCTTCCTCATTTCCTCTTTATTTTCTTCTGTGCCTACGCAGATTCTCACACGGACGAAAAGGTGGCAATTTCTTGGCGCGAGACAAACCCAGTCGTGCTGGAGTTCTCCAACGACGCTCCAGAATTTGACGTCATCAATTTCCAGATTCATAACTTCACAAGGTTCCATAGAACGGGTGAGTGACATCTAGCGAGTTTCCTCAAGCAAAGAGGAGAACAAAGAAGAAGAGAATGAAAGAACAGTAAGATCAGCCCCTTCCATTCCTTATGGGTACAACCAATCAACCAATCTCAGACCGGCTGGCTACCCTGTGACGGAAAAGAGGCTGAGGGGAGGAGAAAAATGTGAGAAAAGAACTGTTAAACAAAAAGAAACAAGAACAGGGAAAAAATTTCACGCATCTGCACATACATGGTTAGTATCCTATCTAACGAAGTTTAATATATTACCATATAAACAGCATGGCTTTCGGCCTGGTTATACCAATAAGATCGCGCTTCTAACCATCGCCGGTAAAATAAAGAAGGCCATTGACGAAGGCTTCATGGGTGCTGGCGTATTTATAGATTTAAGAAAAGTGTTTGATCCTATTATTCACAACATTATTATACATAAACGTGAATTGCGTGACGCAACTAGTCCACCAATTCAATTTATTTTGAGCTATTTATGTAATCGTACTCAAGTTGTTCATATTTACGGTAAAGTTTCAGCTGCTAAGAAAAATATCAGTGCTTTCCTCAGAGATCAATCCTTGGCACCCTGCTTTTCTAGCTGTTTAATTATCGCTTACCAATACATTGGGGTAGTCCTCGACACGCATATGAAGTTCAATATTCATGCGCAATCACTCATTCGCAAGATAACCTTCGAAATACGCGCCATAATCAAAACTCGTATATATTTTCTGCCACATATTATCCAGTTCCTTTAAAACGCACGTATTCACAGCCATCTATCTTATTGCATATCATCCAGGGGCTACACATATTTCACCTATCTCAACGCATGCAAAATCAAGCGCTTCGTCTCATCACATACAGCCATTTCTTAACCAATGCTACGCCACTTTACCTAAATATCTATCATCTTCATCAACTCTTTCAGCTGAAGTTACCCATTGTGATGTATAGGCCTTTCAGTGGTATTGCACATATTGAATGGCATTATCAGTAGATAACCTTGTAAATGAATACCTTTACTAGATTTTCTGAGCTGGGTAATCATCTTCTGCCTAATATTCACACGAACTACGTCAAGTTCACCGCCACGTTTGTGGGAATCAAGCTGTATCACTCATTTTCTTATATCATTAAATCATAAACCACGAAAAACGCATTAAGAAACCAGGTAATGGAATACCTTTTGCAAGAACTGTCTTCATCCCAGCAAATTCAATTTGCTTGGTACATGTTATATTGCTGTTTTGTTTTGTATTGCAATTTCTGATTATTTTTTGAGTGTTGCCTTTACCTTTTTTGTCTGTTAAAAATATGCGTATTTTGCTCTTGTATTAATTTGCGCACTGTTCATTTTCTTTTCACCAAAGATGCATACTGTAACCACTTAATTACGTATATTCTTTCCCGTTCTCATTTTGTATGGCAGCCCCCCCCCCCCCCGACCGTTTATAACTTTGAGGCTGCTTGAGTACTACCAATCTAGGTCTTTCCTCAGCTAATCGCACCAGTCTTTTTGTACACACTTTTTTGAAAACAAATATTCTCGATGTGAAATAAAGTTGTTCAATAAACTTGTTGAAGTGAATCATGATTAGTGGGCGAAGCTATTTGTATCGAATGGGGGTCGTGGCGGCAAACATTTATTGAAATAGAGAGGTTGCAAGGGAAACCGGCACCTATAGCTTCCTTCCACTACAAGGTGGAGTCCTTGTACAGGGACCCCATTGGTCGTGGCCTGTGTCCTGGCACGTTGGAGCATGGCTTGTTGGGCCGGAAGGTCCTGGTAGCCGAGCAGGGCCGCCTACCAGTCCTCTCTGGTTGAATTGGGGTTCGGCGATAAAGATGAATTGCGCGGGCATGCCAATACCTACGCGGTAGGCGTCAGCCACCTCACCGAGTACTGGAAGAGGCCGTAAAAAAGAGTGTCAAGATGCTTAAGCACTGCCGGGCACAGTAGCATATTTGTGACAGGCGGAAAAGAATTATCTCGTCCGCTTTCGTGAGTCCTTTGCAGGGTGCAGGAAGGCAGTGGTGAGAGTCCCGGTAATTGAGAATTATCTCTTTAAAAGTAACGAGAGGAAGATTCTTTTTTTTTGGATCACGGGCAGATGCTCGGGAAATGAGAGCACGGGCATCACCATGCACCGCGTCATTCCTTGCCGGGCCCTGATGGCCATGAGTCCAGATTAGTAAGAGGGAAAAGGGGAACCTAACTGCAGGCAAAATTTAAGAGTTTGGCAGCTAGAGGTGAGATCCATCCCGGTTGAAAATTTCGGCAGGCGCCTTTGGAGTCCAATATTATATTCTTAGAACTGTCATGTGATATAGCTGGAGATATGACCACCTCTTCAGAATGGGTAGCACTGGGTGCGTTGAAGCATAGACTATCAACCTGCCGGACTACGACGGCCATATACAAATCCTCGTGGTAAGGGCTGACGATGTCTATGTAAAATATATTTCTTTAAAGCCGTATTGGCGCCGGGCAGCAAGAGTCCGCGCCTCTCGACGGCCAGCGTGGGACTCCCGTGATATATTGTTTGGGAGAGGGCGAACATGGATCGCAAATTTCAATGTTCAGGCACTCGTACCCGCTCCTCTGTGAGAAACTCATGCCCAATATGTAGGTGATATAGGAGTCGTGGTCTACACCAGTGCGTGTGCATTGATTTTAGCCTCCCAGAGCTCCCGGTACCTAATAAGGCAAGAAGTTTCGCATTGAAAGTAGTGATCAGGAGATCTAGGGCTCGCTTGACAATTTTGTAGACAGTGACCTCCATACTTGTCATGCTTCTGTAAGATCAGGAGTAGAGTCACATACGAGATGCGACTAGTGACAAAAGAATGTGCGAGACAAAGCGCATTCAGTTGACAAATAAGAGGCATCCTGCAGCCTCCAACGTTTTCCACAGAAGTCTGAATTCGTGCACCTTCAGTCTATGCGTAAGTGCACTCAGTCCATCAACCTTTCCTTGTGCACTGTACCTTTTAACGACGCACAGGAGACATGTGTCCTTCCTTGGAATCCACATTCACAAACACCGCAGGGTTGAGACAGCACTTCACAAGCTCCGTAAGAATGGAGAACAGGTGGGTCGCATGGTCTGCTGAGCAAGGGGGGGGGGGGGGCTCTTAAAAGCAAAGATGCACTCCGTCTCGCATGATGGAGTAACCGGGAGCGACCCGAACGTTGTCTCATATAATCTAAACTGAGCGACAAAGTGACATATAGTGTCGATGACAAAACTTAGTACTGAGGTCAATATTCTCTGCGTTCACGTATAAACAGAGTTCAGTTACACGGGATCAAAACATGAATTGATGCGCAGGCAACATGTACGCGCGTATATACACGCTCGCGCACACCAACCTAAATGCGTTTAGAAAATGTGTTTAACGATTTAGAGTGCATAGTACTCTACTATGGGGACTGCATAAAGCCGTCCCAATATTGAGTCGTCAGACTGGCACACGACGATGATCATCTCAGTTGTGTGTTTAGAAAAAGGGGTTAACGATTCAGAGTATTCGGTACTCTACCATGGGAGAGCTGAAAGCCGTCCCTGGGGCCTCATACTATGCACGATGTGGGTCACGTCATTAAAACAGCGAAGTTTATTGCAAACTGGTAACAACATTTCAGGTGAGTACAATTGTCTGGTGTAACAAAATCACTTCAGTGGCGTGATCAAACAAGAGAACGTACACAGGATGTAACACACAGCACTTCAAAATTCACAAGAGAACATAGACAGGATGTAACACACAGCACTTTGAAATTCTCACAGATCACGAATCACTAAAAAAAGGGAGGAAAATGAAAAAAAACGCAAAAAGTACAAATTGGTACAGACTCACATCATAAAGGAGTTATTAAGCACGACGAAGTGCCGCACCGCAGCAATCGAACTAGAAGCAAGGGGCACTCCGAAAGGGGCAGTGATTTCACCAATGCTGTTCAACATTGCCATGATTGGACTGTCAAAGAAATTATCGAGCATTGAAGGATTGAAGCACAGCATCTACGCAGATGACATTACCATCTGGTGCACTGGTGGAAGCGAGGGGCAGATTGAGAGCGCTCTGCAAGAGGCTATTGACACCGTAGGAGAGTACCTTCGTCCTTCCGGGCTCAAGGGCTCCTCGAGTAAGTCAGAACTTTTACTGTATCGGACTGCACGCCGGGGACCGAAGCCCAAGGGATGGAAGCCGTTAAACCAGATAGACATCCACCTCCGTACAAATCAAGGGGATGCCATCCAGAGGGTTGACTCCATCAAAGTCCTGGGCATGCTGATAGAGTCTACCGGCGCCAACAGCAAATCTATAGCCAAGTTAACTTGAAAAACAGACAGTGCGATGCACCTCATACGCAGAGTGGCCAACAAAAAAAATGGGATCAAGGAAGACAACCTCATCAGTTTGATACATGCGTTTATTCTAAGCCACTTCACGTACGAGGCAGCAATGCACAACTGGTCAAGAGCAGAGTCCGAGACACTGAATGTGCTCCTCAGGAAAGTTATCAAGAAGGTTCTGGGCCTACCCATACGTACCAGCACCAAGCGTCTGCTTGAGCTTGGCATTCACAACACGCTCGAAGAAATAGCAGAAGCCCAAGAGAGAGCACAGCTTGCAAGGTTATCTACAACAAGGTCGGGGAGAATGATCCTGCAGGAGCTGGGCCAACACCCAGTAGCAATCAGACGCAATTACTATGATATCCCTGACAACATCAGGGAGACTATCACGGTATCTCATATACCAAGAAACATGCATCCAGAACACAACGTCGGTAGAAGAGTAGCGAGGGCCAGGACTAAACTTCATCAAGTCTCAAACGAGGAACGAGGGGTCGTATTTGTTGACGCGGCTTCCTACGCCATTGGGAAAGTGTTTGTGGCAGTGGTGGTCGATGGGGCTGGCCATGTCGCCAACTCAGCGACGGTCAGGACGAAAGACCCAATCAGTGCGGAACAGGTGGCCATCGCCT